CCAAGAACACAACACAATGTCCCCGGCCAGGGCTCGAACCCGGACCGCTCGATCCGGAGACGAGCGCACTAACCATGAGGCCACCGCGCCTCCCACCAAAGGTACAAGTACAATGTACAAAATACAAACAATCTTTATTTTACTTAAGTTTGAGTCAACTAGTATTTTGGCAACATATATTTCAAATGCATGTATACAGCTACGAAACAAATACATGTACGAGGGATCAAGTTGCAACCCAAGGCAGAATATCTACAAAGGGACTGATTTTAAATGTACAGTATGTGAGTCATTTTGTCATCAGTTTGTTTTACCTGTCAGCTTCATCCAGCACTATTATCTCCACGGTTTGCAGGTTAAATGACGGGGTGTTATGCAAGTGATCCACAAGTCTCCCAGGAGTAGCAATCACGATGTCAGGTCCTTTACGTAATGCTGCTTCCTGGCTCTTCCCATCCAAGCCCCCTGGAAAGAGTTTGGGACAGAACAACACAGCAATGACAAGGAATCTGTAACATTTTTTTAACACCGGATTCAGAGTAATACATGAACATGAGTGAAATTAAATAAGTTAAAAATGTTTTTCTCACGCACAGCTGGGGCCTGGGTATTGGTCATGTGACCTGTGGCATGGGCAGTTGTTTCTGTTGCATTTGCCATTGCTGACTTTCCCACCCACCCACCCACCCGAAGATTTTAAGTTTTTATGCAATGCCAGTATTTTTTTGTTTTTTCCCTGACAATTTCTTGACCTGTGGAAAACTTGCTCTGGAAAGTCTACCTGTTCGACTTTTGAAGGCAAATACTCTCACATTTTTTTGACTGAAGTGGTTTCTTTAACTATCAAATACGTTCATGGTTGTAAATACACACTCAGGATTCATGGAAAGCAGGCTTATTATCAACTTAAAAGATTACTAATGTTTAGCATAACTTCAAAACACCCACCTGTAGCCAGGCACACTTGGATGTTGGTGTGTTTGGACAATGCTTTGGTTACAGAATGAATCTGTGATAAAAAGGAATCCCACTGTTTAATACTCCATGTTATGCTCAAAATATTTAGGAAGGAATCCACCACAAGTTCGTTTAGCAAGTGGAAAAAAACTTTGAACCGAGATTGTTTACATTGTATTGGAAACTTCTGTGCGATTGTTTCAAATATCTTCTCAAAAGAAGTCACTTCTAACAACACCAAATGTCGAAAACAAATGTTGAAGTTCATTTGAAACCCTTGAAAGTACTGGTGAAATGACACTGATGATGAAATTTTACCTGTGTTTGCACAATTTCTCTGAACTTTGAAATTTATTTTCTCAAGTTCCTGTGGGAAATTGTTTTTGGTGTTATTTCAGGCAACTGTCTTTATCTTTAGCTTTTAGAAAATACAAAAAGGATTTCAATATACTGAACAATATTCTGGTACAGGAGTTTTGTCCACTTAAAACTTGAAGTTGCCGATTTCCTATCCGACTTCGTCTTAATTCAACATGAACTCATGCCTGCATACTCAGTCTCTCTTAAAAAGATGGAAAACATTTTCTTCCTGTTGCTATATCGAGTTATATAATATTATTAATAGTTAAACAATCATGAAAGTTCAGTAAACTCAAAAAAGCTTCAGGAACACACATCTTAATCGTCTTGTATTCCAACAACATACCACTTTCTCCCAAATTAAACTTCCAATCCCATTTCTATAACTTGACAGAAACACTGAAAATGTTTCTATTTCTTGAACTCTAACTGGCAAATTACATGTATTGACTGTATGCTACTTAAATGTAAGTTGTAAGGAGTACCTGAATGGCCAGCTCTCTTGTGGGAGTTAGAATGAGGACCCTTGTTACTGACGCCTGCTGAGGTCGGTAAATAAGTCGCTCCAATATCGGAAGCATATATGCTGCTGTCTTTCCTAAATGTGTTGTTTGAACAATATCAATGCTAAGTTTGATCCAATCAACAAAACATTCTGCTACATGTACATGTACCTGTACAGTACATGTCTTTTTAGATTACATTTGACTGTGCCTCTACATTCCGAATACATGTTCAGTTCTGTGTTCAATTTTTTCACAATAAAAAATTATACACATAATATGTGTTACACAGAAAACATTTTTTGTTTTCTATCAAGTCATTAATAACACGAGTGGAAGTTTAGGAGAACAAGAAATGCTGTACTGTGGTGACAAGAGACAAATCGTTAAGGCTACAGCTTTTTCAAATTCTCTCAAACTTTCACAAGAGTTTTTATAACTTGAAGGAAACATGAGGAAAATTAATGTTTATCTACACTGTATTGAAAACTCTGGAAGAAAAAGAAAGGAAAATCACTCGAATGTTTATTTCTGTTATCAAAAAGGAAATTCTCTTTGCTTGTGCCATCATTACATCAACGGCTTCTACATAAATACATATCTGTGTTTCTACCCAGTTACAGAAGTATGATGTTTTTGTGCATGCTCTCTTAGAGGGTGTTTTCTAAATTATTCATACAGTGTAGATGCATTATTTTCCAAAGATTCTGTTCTACAATCATGTAACTCAAAATTAAGATAAAAACATTCGCTGGCTAATAAATTTCATAACTGTTTCACACAATCGACTGAAAGTTACAACCTCCAAATTGTACTGAGTTACACCTGCCAACTCTTTCCTAGTTAGAGGTATGACAGGATGAAGACTTCCACGAAGATGTTCCAAACATTTCCCAGGCTCAGTCACAAGACGTGTTTTGCAGAATACATTCTTATGAAAATCATGGAATTGCCCAGAGCAATTACCATGACGGTCATTATTTTCCATAATTTGAACCTACATGTATTTTCTGGCATTGGTTCATGCCCAAGGTGTTATAATTGGTGGTTATACAGTGTTCATTGGCTCACTGTACTACACAATGTGAATTTTCCTCAAGGCTCATGTCAATACAACTAGTAGTAATTGTAGATTAAAGAGTGCGTTTGAGTATTGGTAGGTTTGGTATGTTAAAAAAGCAAAAATTCTAGGAACAGCATTTTGTGCCTGAGCTGTAAGGTAGGCGTGAAATTGGCCTCCCTTCCGCGGGAGCAAAAACAACTGAATTGATCGCAAAGCACGTGCATAGAAGAGGGTTTCTTCTCGTTTATACATTTTACATGGACTGCAGTTGGCAGGCCACATTTAGTTTGTAGTCCCCGTTAAATACCTTAGTCCATGTGTTATACCCAGTGCGTAATGCTTAGCTCGCATTTTATACCAAAGTCTGTGTTTTATATCCAGTCCGTAGTCCGCAGTCAGCAGTCCGCAGTCAGCAGTCCGTGTTTTATACTGACCATGTAAATCGACACAAACGACGCCTGTTCCATCGGTATGCGAGACGAAGTGCTTTTATTACCAAAACTAGGACAATTCTTATGTTTACGAACACGACTTTGAATTGCCCTGGCTTTGGGGGAACAGCTACAGGGCACTTTCACTTCCGGAACAATGAAACGGAGGACATGTTGGTGTACCAAAGCAATCCTGTGGGAGTTGAACTCTTTTCCTATGCTTTTGATGGGTTTTTGTTACATTATTTGCGCAGAGAAATCTTGGCCAGCGAAGTGAAACTACACATTTCTCTCTTTAATTTGTTCAGCAGATCCAGAAAGCAGCGTTGGTTTTGGCCAAATTAAAAAGAGAAGAGGGTACACAACATGCAGTCAAACTACAGCTTTCTGTTCGCAAGGTTTTTACATGCCATTAACACTTACTTCAAACTTTAATTAAAATAAACAATGTATCCGCTACAATCCAGAGTAGGCTGCCTCGACACTCAAAAGTCTGCAATATTGCACAACACTCCAAAGAAAGCACATGGACAAACATGGAGATGACGTCATTCGCCCCTGAGAAATTTTTTTTTTTTGGGGGGGGGGGACAAATTGGTGTCCACAGAAAGATACATACAAGGAAACTCAAATTTTGCCGCATTACCCAATTACAACTGTGTTCTCTTGAACGCAATTAGCATAATATTTTCATCACATGTATTTTCTTTTAATTCTCTTGCATAAATGTACAGGACCAAATTGAGAAAATTATACCACCAATTGCCTTTGTAGTAACAAACCAAAAAAGCCACAACGGGCACCAATTTTTATTTATTTCTATTAGCTACTGGTTGCTAATAAAGAAAATTAATCTGACCTTGCTTTACTAAAATCACGAACCTGTTCCTGTTGCAGCACATGCACAGATGTCTTTGCCCATCAGAGCCACAGGAATAGTTGAGGTCTGGATAGGCGTAGGATGACTAAATCCCAGATCATTTATAGCCTTTTGAGATAAACAAAGAATTATGAACTTTACATATGATGTATCCATACATTACGTGTTAAGCACAATGGGCATAAATTGAAATGGAAGAGGGTATGATTATGTATTACATGGATCGTAAAGCACAAATCAAAGGAAAAAATCCTGAGGTTAGTAAACACTGTTTATCATATCTAAGGGCTCATGAGAAGTGCCGTGTGGTCATCTGGGACAAAAAGATTCTCTTGTGGAACAATTGACTCTTCACAAACAGACTTGCCTAATGTCGGAAGAGAGGCCCAGAAAAGTCATCTGCCACTCAAGTCATAAAAAGGGATTTCAACAAAAGCAAGCGTTCACTTGCCTTGAGCAAGCGAAATCTGAGAGTTACATGATTGTATACTTGTCTGAAGGGCAAGCTCAAATTCTGGTGTTTTAGCTTTGTATCTCCCACATTAAACAAAGGAAGGCATTATTAATTAAGTGCATAACAAATGCCTTAACAGCTTTGAGTGGGACCTTGTGTACATGTACGGTAAAATGAGTCCTGTAAAATTGACCATTCATTTAGAGTGATCTGTCTGAAAGATAATTAGCATAAAAGTCACTGTTCAAACTGCTTTGATATACCCCTTACTAATACCATGTGATAGAAACTACAGCCAATCAGAGGAGAGGAAAGCCATTGAATACATAAATGTACTTCCCATCATGAGTAGATATGTACATGCCAGCACATTGATTATATCGGCCTCTGTATATTCTATGGCAAAATTGGCATAAAATAGTTATAAAACACTTTCCAGTGGTATACCATGGAGTCACTTGATCAGGTTGTCAAAACATCAGTCACCAACAACAGTTCTTTTCAGAACTACCCTCACCCAGACGATCACACTATACGAACAACTGTAATTATTGTTAAATATACATGTACATGCATATCATCCATAATGATTATTATTGTACAATTACCTTGAGTAAAGGTCTTGATAAATTCATAGTTGTAAAAGTTTGATGCATCACTTGTGGAGGAGGTTCTTCAAAAAATTTCCTTTTCTTTTCAGTTATCTGTAACGAGAATTTAAAGATCAAATTATAACTAGAGTGAAAAATTAAACCTGGAAGAGGGATATCTTGCAACCTGAGTCAAACATCATAGGATCTAAATAATAGGCCTTTAACTACTGGAAACAATTTCACCACAGAGTCATTCATTCCCTTACTTTGATTACAGTACAGACCAAAGGGATTGCAGTATTACACACACGTAACATGTGTGTACTACTTGCATATTACACACAGTGACCACGCACTTAACATGCATAAAAAAGGGAAATATATTAAGAAAATGCTGGTAATCGATAACATGACATAGACTTGATATATATTGCATGTAGTCATTCAACTGGAAATCACTACTTGCGTGCAATGAGAACAAAACATTTACTGTGTAGCGTTGTGGTTTGAACAAGCGGCGCAAGTGAATGACAGGTGTGTGAGGATTCACATGTATATTTAACAGAGTTTCCCATATTAAACACATAATTTCACTTTTCAATTGGTTTTTCTTAAACTTTTAAAATTCAGGGTGTCCAGTTCCTATTTTTCCTATTTTTTGAGCAGATTCCTAATAATTTTCTCCTATTTTTAAATGAAACCTCCTATTTTCCCTATTTTTTTGGCTGATTAAGCAGCATGTGTTACAAAATTGAACATGGATTTACAGCTTCAGGTAGATTTTGCATAAAGAAATTGGTGTCATGGCTTTGGTTTTCCTAAATTAACAAAATAATGTTAGGGACAGTGACTTTTTCTCTGTTCTCTGTTGCTTAGAGGATTTCTTTTCATAGCTGTCCTGACAAGATACGCTGTTTCCATATTTTTCAATGATTTTCTACTGCACCTATTGTATCTGGCTGTTTGTATAAATATAGTTGAAGTCAACAGATAACATTCTGTATAGACCCATTGAAAGTTATTAAAAATATATTATTACAATTAAGTATCTATACAGTCATGTCTTTACACTGAACTCATGTTCACTTTATGATCAAATTTGAAACTGGAGATGTTCATATCATGAGGTTGATGTTCATCGGAGAAAAGAAAGCCAAATTAAGGTTGAACTCACAGTGATACATGTAAGCTATATTAAAGGTGAACTGTCATTTTGAAGTCAAATTAAGGGGTAAACTACAGGTTGTTTTATGTTTAAGTTGAGTGCGCTGCTGGTTTTTATTATATGGAGAAGAGTGTTTTACTGGGAACTAAACCACTCGTAGATTCCATA